TACAATCACACACACTCTTCATACACACAGCACATACAATCACACACGCTCTTCATACACACAGCACATACAATCACACATGCTCTTCAATACACGGGGGAGGGGGGAAGAGAGGGAAAGAGAGAGAGGAAGAGAGAGAGAGAGAGAGAAGTAATTAAATAATATTTAATTAACAAGAAATACACTGGATATAGTAGCTAATGCCTGTAGCCCTCAGGAGGTAAAACAAGAACTGCCCAAGAGTTTGAGGTCAGCGTGGGCTACACTGTGAGTTCATGCCACTCTATGGATAAGGCTCAGTAGTCTAGCACTTTACCAAACATGCAGAGAATCCTGGATTTGAACACTAGCATTACTAAACACTAGACACACGGGGCAACACAAGCACGATTACTCAGCGCGCAATGACATCTACCATCAAGCATGATGACCTGAATTCAATCCACACAGGAGAGACCTGACCCTGCATGCTGTCCTCCGGCCTCCACATACCCGCTGAGGCACAAGTGCGCCCACACACACAGATACGTGGTGAGTCATAGGTCACTAAAGGCTGCTTTTCAAAAGTCATCACTAGCTAGGCAGGGTGAGGCAGGCTTGTAATCCCGTCTAGGCAAGAGTATCAGGAGTTCAAGATCGTCCTCAACTGCAGAGTGAGGTTGAGTCTAGTGTAAGCTACGTGAGGAAACAAACCAGCCAGGTACGGTGGTGTCCATCTTAATCCAAGCACTTGGGAGGCAGAAGCAGGAGAATCTCTATGAGTTCCAGGCCAGTCAGGGCAATAAAATAAAACCGTATGTTGAAAATTACTTAGCTAATTAAAATGAAATATAGCTGGGAAGATATCTCGGCCTATAAAACGTCTGCTACACAACCATAAGGACCTGGGTTTGGATACTCAGCACCAGCCTTAAAAGCTTGTCTCTAATCCCAGTACTGGTGTGGTGAAGACCGGGACATTCTAGGGCTTGCTATGTAGCAAGGGAAGCTGAGTCAGAAAGCTCCGGGTTCAGTGAGCTACAAAATACAAAGTGCAAAGCCACTGAAGAGGACATCTATCCTGTCCCCAGGACTCTACACAATCATCCTCACAGACAAGCAAATAGATCACACACACACACACACACACACACACACACACACACACACACGAATAGTCATCAGAGAAGCCAAGCCTGGTGGCACAAGCTAATCCCAGCACTAAAATGTATGAGGGAAAAACATTTATTTAAACTGATCATTATCAAATAAATAAGTAATACACGTATCACAAAGTTTGACAGCTATAAATAATAATGCTATAAAATCAGGTATAAAAAAAACTAACTCATGAGCATACACAGGAAAAAATGAGCTTTAGCTTATTATATAAAGAAAAAATTTTTTACCTTCCAAGAGTTTTTGACATGATGTATTCGTCTCTTAATTCCTTAGGATAAACTGTCTGATCATCTACAGTCAGATCAAAAAATACAAAAACTGAGGGGGAAAGGACAGAAATGGGCTCGTTAATTCACGATTAAAAAACCAGTTCTCAAGTTTAACTACACACAGATTATAAGGTACAGAATTACATTTATCGTGTAATACAAAATGAATTATTTTTAATGGGGGGGCGGGGGCAATAAGAAAGTTCAGTAGATAAAAATGGTACGCTGTGAATGCCTAATGACTGACTTGAGTCTGGTCCTCAGAACCCACAGTGGAGGAGAAAATCAACTCACAACAGTTGTTCTCTGACCCCTACAGGCATATTCTAACATGTAAAACATGTAAGTCTACACATACACAAACAAATCTCTCTCTCTCTCTCTCTCTCTCATTCTGTCTGTCTGTCTCTCTCAAACTCTCATTCAATGTCTGTCCCTCTCACTCTCATTCTATGTCTGTCTGTCTGTCTGTCTGTCTCTCTCTCTCTCTCTCACACACACACACATACACACACAAACACACATACACAATTATTAAATGTAAATAAACAAGGTGGAAACAAGAGCAAGACGCCTTACATCACCCGCTGGCCTCCACACCTACACGAACGCACAAACACATCACCACACACACAAAGTAAGTACGCAGCACTCAGAAGGCAGAGGCAGGCAGGGTTCAAAGCCACCCTGGTCTACATAGGGAATTCTAGGGCAGCCATATAGTAAGACCTTGTCTCAAAAACAAAAACAAACAAACAAAAACAAAAACGAACAACTCAGGCAATGGAGTAAACTCTTGAAAGCTATTGAATACTGACTTACTTAATTTGACTGATTTAAAGCATAATCTATAGAGACACAAAAATTTCCCTTTACAGAGGAAGCTAAGGAGAACTCATTAACCGTAAGATAATAACATTACCTTTATTTCTACATAGTGAAAGCGCGATTTCAGAGTTATTACTCAAAGGACGGCGCTTGCCTTTCCCGATTAGCTCGGTATTTACGAAGGTTCCATTTCCACTGTGATCCTCTAAGTATACGATGTAAGAATTTTTAGGCCCCATTTCCTAAAACAGAGAACATTTCATTTCCAAGTTTTGACAGCAGGAGTTAATAGCGCAAGACGCCCCAGAGCAACGACTAGATCACCGAGTCTCCAAAGAGAGAAGCAACCATCACCTACCCTGAAGATACGAAAGTGCTTCTTGCTGTAAGTCCGGTACTTGTCCGTCCTTCTCAACAGCGGTCCATCAAAGCAATATTCACAGCTTTTATCCCTCCCAAACCAGTAGTTGTCGTTAACACAGTCTGTTAAAATACACAAACACATAGCAGAGAACGTTACAAAGTGCTAACTGGAGGAAAGGACTGATTCTGTGGAGTGGTGCACATGTGAACCCAGCAGGACAAGCTCAAGAAACTTGCCTACAAGAAAGACAGTCAAAACAGCAGTGTGGCCGGGCAGTGGTGGCACAGGCCTTTAATCCCAGCACTCGGGAGGCAGAGGCAGGCAGATTTCTGAGTTCGAGGCCAGCCTGGTCTACAGAGTGAGTTCCAGGACAGCCAGGGCTATACAGAGAAACCCTGTCTCAAAAAAACAAAAACAAAAACAAAACAAAACAGCAGTGTGTAAGAAGACAGTCAAGGGCTAGAGAGATGGCTCAGGGGTTAAGCGTACTGACTGCCCTTCCAGAGGTCCTGAGTTCAATTCCCAGCAAACACATGGTGGCTCACAACCATCTGTAATGGGATCTGATGCCCTCTTCTGGTCTGTCTGAGAACAGCAACAGTGTAATGTACTCACATGAAATAAATCTTAAAAAAAAAAAAGAAGAAGACAATCAAAAGTCTTCTTATTGATATAGATTCAATATCAAAATTTTGTATTAAAAACTGGGGGACACTGGCTGGGGTATAATTCAGTGCACACTGCAAGGTCAGCGAATTCAAGACCTTGGGCTCAATGGGGGCTGCTGGGCGGGGTGGGACAATCAAACAATAATGGCTTAGTTTTGTTTTAGGCTATGTTATTTGAGACTGGTATTTGAGGCAGGGTCTCATACCCTCCAGGGTGGCTTCTAATTCTCTATGTAGACAAGAATGACGGTCAACTTCTAATCCTTCTGCCTCAACTTTCCTGACACTAGGTTTGCAATAAAGTGCCAACCATTCCCAATCTATGTGGTGCTAGACATAAAACCCAGAGCTTTGTGCACATTAGGCAAATGCTCTACTGAGCTATATCTCAGCTGCATTTACTTATTCTCTGGGAGAGTCTCACATAACCCAGCTGGACTTGAACTTGCTATGATGCTGAGGCTGGCCACGAATTCCTGATACCCCTGACTCAGCCTCCCAAGTGCCAAGATTACAGGCATGTTCCACTACACCAGGCTGTAACACTGGGTTAAATAATTGCTGGTTTATACATAACCATGAAATGATGAGCAGTCATTAAGACTCCTTGAATCCCAGCACTCAGGGAGAAGAATCAGGAGGATCTCTGAGTTCACAGCCACCCTGGACAGTGAAGTGAGTTCCAAGACAGTCAAGGCTACACAGAAAAAACCCTGTCTTGAAAAACCAAAGAACTTTTTTTTTCAGAGACAGGGTTTCTCTGTGTAGCCCTGGTTGTCCTAGAACTCACTCTGTAGACCAGGCTGGCCTCGAACTCTCTTTGAAAATAAAAATAAGGTAGCTAAGGATAGGACCTTGGATGTAGCTCAATGTAAGAGCTCTCTACCGTGCATAAGGCCTGAATCTGATCCTCAGTATGAAGAGGGCCACCAGGAGGAGACACACTCCACCACAGTTGGTTACAGGGCCCTGAGATTTCTGCTGCAACAACCTAACCACCTTCCCTGTTTCTCTGTACAACACACTATATTATAGAACAAAGTTCCTTACCTAGATTCGAGAATCCATCCTGAAGAGCCCATAGCCGAGCCCAAGGGGCAGGACCAGGGTCTTCGGGTTCTTGGTCCTCAGGAATAGAACAGAGTTCCTGAGTAGACACAGTCTCTAAGGAGCTCAGTGTCCCAGAGCTGGAGTGTGAGGATTGACTGGAGGAAGTCACTGTGCTGGTGGAGGAACTAGATGGACCCTGATACTGTGAGAGGTCGTTCAACTGAGAGAGAGTGCCTTGGGACTGGCTGGAGCCGCCTTGGGACTGGCTGGAGCCGCCTTGGGACTGTGAACAGGAAGCACTGTCATGAGCCTTCCAGGAGGTGCTGCCGTGGGACTGATGACTCTTCATATCGGACCTCGAAAACAAGAGTCCAGAAATAAGAAACAAGGCTCAAGAACCGAGGGTGAAGAACGAGAGCTGGAGTGATGACGCGGCAGGAAAGAGCACATGCTATTCTTGGGGAACCCAAGTTCAGTATGTTCTCAGCACCCAACTGTGGCAGCTCAAGGTTGCCTGTAACTCCAACTCCGGTGGATCTTGGCCTCTGCAACCGCTAGAGCTTACACGTGTACATTCCCACATAGATAACATAATTAAAAGTAAAGTAAATCTTTAATTAGGTATGTGGCTATAACACAATAATAGATGGTTGATCACTTCTCCAACAGATGCAAAGTACTGGATCCCATCCCCAGTATCATCAAACATACAAAATGAAGACAGTTAAGAGTACAGTTCCACCGGGCGGTGGTGGCGCACGCCTTTAATCCCAGCACTTGGGAGGCAGAGGCAGGCAGATTTCTGAGTTTGAGGCCAGCCTGGTCTACAGAGTGAGTTCCAGGACAGCCAGGGCTACACAGAGAAACCCTGTCTTCTGGGGGGTTGGGGGGGAAGAGTACAGTTCCCAGCACCCACATCTAAAAAAGATCACAAACACCTGTAATTCCAGCTGGGGGTGGGGGGATACAACGCCCTCTATTGGCCCCCGTGCGCACTGCACAGACTTGGACACATGATTTTTTTTTTTTAAATAAAGAAATTTAAAGGAACAGGAACATTATGACCACCTCAAAAAGAAAGGCAGTCCCATTCGTGAGTGGAAAAAAAAAGTGACCGCAGCAAAATCACAGGGTTATGAATACAATTCCAGAGGCCACTTACAAAGCATTACACCATCTTCCTTCATGTACAGAAGCTGAGAATGGGTTGGTTGTCTCCTATCCACTCCTTGCCATCCTACCCCACACGTATGCTGAGTATGCTTCAGTTCCTGCAGAGCCTAGCAGCGAAGATTGGGTTCTCAGTAGGTATTTGGGAAAAAGTAATCTAGGGGCTGGCAAAAACATTTACAATGTTCGTTATAAAAACTACTTCGCTTTGGCACTGAACAGTCCAGCGTTGTGCCTTCCTATGTGCCCAGACCTGTTTCAGCTCGCAATTAACAAGGAAAGTGAACTTCTCCCCCCCACCCCCGAAGGGCATAAAAAGGAAGAGTTGGCAATGCACAGCGCCCCCTCGCTCGCACAAGTAAGCAGACAAAGCGGAAGCTGCAGAGGACCCATTTGCACAAGAAGCCTGAGAACGGTATTCGAATCCTCAAACACTCAAAAAAAAAAAAAAATTCCCACTTATGACTCACCGCGTGAGACCACCAGGAGCCACAAACACTTGCACAGCCGCAGCCAGTGGTGTGGCGCTAAACCTACCGATACAAACTCCACCCTCAGCCAATCAAAACGCCTTCCCCTCCGCAGGACCAATAAGAAAGCCCGAAGATGACTGCCGCATTTAGCCGCAAGGCTTCCTGGGAGTTGTAGTTTAGCATGCGGAACGGGACTCGGCTTCTTGGCTTCCCGCGGCTGGTCCCGCCTCCTCGGCTCTCTAGCCAATCAGCAGCGAGTCGCTCTGTCCTCCCTTTTCTCCGGTCTGGGGATCCAGGCCAGCAGGCGGCCGTCCGGATGTGGGGCTGCAGGGCCCCGGCCCTGCTGTGCGTTTGGGAGGTGCGGCTGGCAGGGTTCCTAGGAAGGAGACTGCTGAGCAGCAATGCCGCCGCGGGGAAGAGTATTGCGCCTCAGTGCTGGAACTGCGGCCGCGGGAGGGGATCCGGGTGTGGGGATGAGTTCTTCTGCGCGCACTGCCGCGCGCTGCAGCCTCCTGACCTCACTCGGGACTACTTCAGCCTCATGAACTGGTACGGGCGGCGCGTCGTGACGGGAGGGCGACTCGGGCTACTTAACCCTAGCGATCAAGGCTTAGGGCAGCGTCTGCGATCCTGTGATTTCCAACCAGCTGGGGGAACTGAGGCAGAACCACAGTTCAAGGCCAGCGTAGGCAAGTTGCCGAAACTGATTCAAAACAACTAAAAAGATGGTTAAGTATATAGGTCATAGGTATAATGTAGTACCTAATGAGATTTTAAGAGTTTTCCTGAGAGGGAGAGGAAATAAAGTTACAGACTGGAGAGAAGATAAAGGTGGAAGCAGGGGTTAATCAGGATTGAAGCTGCAGATACCTGTGATCTAAGCACCTGAGTCCAAGACTAGCCTCTGCTACAAGGGCCTTGTTTTTAAACACAAACAACAACAGAAACAGGGACGAGTTTACTGTATAGGGAGGTTTGAGGGGTGGGACTTCTGTCTTAGTTCCACCCACCTCTGCCTCCCCAGTGCTGAGATTAAAAGCATGCTAGTCTAAGGTAGGAAGATTTCCCAGTTGGAGGCCAACCACAAAAATAGGGAACATCTCATCTTAAATTATTTTTTTAACCGAGAAAATTAAAACAAGCCAGGTGAAGCCGGGCTGTGGTGGCGCACGCCTTTAATCCCAGCACTTGGGAGGCAGAGGCAGGCGGATTTCTGAGTTCGAGGCCAGCCTGGTCTACAAAGTGAGTTCCAGGACAGCCAGGACTACAGAGAGAGACCCTGTCTCGAAAAACCAAAAAAAAAAAAAAAACAAGCCAGGTGTTTGTGTTATACCTGTGAGTCCAGCACTCAGAGTTCTATGGGACTCTGGGCTTCATGAGACTTAAGACTCAAAAATCAAAAGCAATTAAGAACAAAATAAACCAAGTGTGGTAGCCCGTGTCTGGAATCCTAGTATTCGGGAGGCTGAAGGAGAAGGGTCACAAGTGGGAGCCCAACATAGGCTAAGCAGTGAGACCTTGTCTCAGGAAAAACAAAAATTTAATTCAGGCTGAAGGTTGGAAGGAAGAGAGATCAAGAAGTGTTCGGTGTGTTTTTGTTTTGTTTTTTAAGATTTATTTGTTTTATATATATGAGTACAGTACACTGTAGGTGTCTTCTGACACACCAGAGAGGGCATTGGATCCCATTACTGATGGTTGTGAGTCACCATGTGGTTGCTGAGAATTGAACTCAGGACCTCTAGGAGAGTAGTCAGTGCTCTTAACCACTGAGCCATCTTCCGAGCCCCTCCCCCTGCCTTTTTTTCTGAGAAACTGGAGAGGTACAGGAGTGTGGGCGGAGTTGAACTAAAGATTAAAGTAAAATGGGAGGGCCTGCTGTGGTTGTGCACACCTGCGATCCCAACCTCCAGCCAAAAGCAAGAAGATACAGAGTGCAGTTTGCATCCCACAGTCTGGGCTGCACAGTTGCAGACTATACCACAGACTCGGTCTGAATCACTCACTCCCTGAGAAGGAGTGCTGAGTCCTCACTTTATCAGGGTGATGCAACCTGAAACCGTCCTTGCATTAGCAAAGGGCTATACAAAGACAAAAAAAAAAAAACCTGCTTCTAGGTATTAATGGCCCCGTAATAGTCTCTGCCTGTATTTCCAACTATTCAGGAAGCTGAAGGAGGAGGATCAAAAATTTCAGCCTTGAACAATTGAGCAACACCCAGTATCTTTTTTTTTTTTTTAAGGTAAACTTGGCTACATAGCAAGTTTGGTGCCAGCTTGGGGCCCACAAGATATCTCTCTCTCTCTCTCTCTCACACACACACACACACACACACACACACACACACACACACACACACACACGCGCGCACATTTTGTAATGCCAAGGCTCTAGACCCGGTGACAGACTTGTAATCCCAGGTATAAGGAAGGCTAAAATGGATTTATTGCAAATCCAGGCATGCCTGGGCTGTACAAAAAGTGACTTCAAAGTCAACTTGGGTACCTTAGTTAAGAAAGTCTGTCTCAAAAAGTAAAAAGAGGTCTGGTAGTGGGGAGGAGGGAAGGAGTGGCTTGGTTCTAAAATCCTTGCCCAACTTGCCAGAGACCCTCAGTCACCTAGAGCTTGCAATGCATTATACTAACCTCCCTTAATGTGTCAAGCTATCAGCCTTCCAGTCAGTTCAGTGTCTCTCCGAGTCCCTTTCTGATCTTTGCTCATCCTGATCTCGTCTCTATTGTCATACCTGTACTACCTCTTCCGAACCTGTTCTGTTTTCCTTCGTTACAGCTACCATGTCTTAAAAATACCCTTTGTTTACATATCTATTACATCCTCCCCAAGAGCAGAACCAGACCCTAGTAAATACCTATAACTACTATTTTGTTGCATGAATAACATCTGGGGTCCTTCCAGCAACCGATCTTTCAGGGTTGACGTCACGAAACTTCAGCGCAGGTACCAGCAACTGCAGCGTCTTGTCCACCCAGATTTCTTCAGCCAAAAGTCTCAGGTATTTACTGAACACCCCCCACACCCCCCAATATTCCCCTTGTATGTGCATAACTGGGTGGGTTGCTCTGTTGCTCTGGGAAAGAGTTAGGCTACTAGCTCCACCCTGTGGCAGCCCGCCTCTAGACAGCCAGGCCCCAGAGATGTCATTTCCTCCCAGCTTTTATCTGGCTTCCCAGATAACGGAACACACACCAGCTTGACTGGCTCTTGTAATGATAAAACTGTTTTTACTTCTGTGAACAGACTGAAAAACAGTTCTCGGAGAAGCATTCCACCCTGGTGAATGAGGCCTATAAGACTCTTCAGGCTCCCCTGGCCAGAGGACTTTATCTTGTAAGGTGATTTCCCAACCCATCTGTCTGGGACTCCTCTGTATGAGACCTGGCCTGGTCTAGGAAGCTAATGATATTTACCTCAAAAAAAAAAAAAAAAAAGGAGAGGAAAGAAAGAGAAAGGTTTTATATAAGTATAATAATTTTCTTAGCGTTCTTTGTGAATCCATCTTGCTTGTTTGTATTTCCTTTGAAAGAAGACCTCACTGTTGTAGCCCAGGCTGGCTCCAGATTACTAATTATCTTGCTTTACCATGCCACATCCAGCTCCTTCCTTTTTTCTTTTTCCTTCAGTACTGGGTATTAAACCTATTGCCTCATGCTAAGGAAGCGCTCTAAACTGAGCTATGGCCCCTGCTTGATCATTACTGGATTTTCTTTCGTTGGCTTGCTTCCATGTGTTTGTTTGCTTTGATGGTACTAGGTTCCGAATCCACTCAACTCTATCCCCAGCTCCCTCGTTACTTTTTAAACTGGTGTTGTTCAGCTGCCCAGGCTGGACTTGACATGTGATCTTCATGCCTTGGCTTCCTGAGTAACTTAGGATGCAGCCACACCACCAGACCTGGATCCTTTTACATATCTTAACGCCTTCCTCCCTGATTGCAGTGCTTTAACTATTTTCAATAAATTTGATGGTAAGAGTACTTGAGAGTCTTTTTTCCAAAACATCCAGACGATTTTAAAACTGAAGAGAATGTTTATAAACATTCATTTAATGTCTGAGGGGAGGTGTGACTATCCAGGGCCCAGCTGCAGGCAGCAGAGTGAGGTCCTATAGCAGCACTCACTGTTACTAGGACAGCTCAAGTTTCCCAGGCTCGACATGTGACTCTGTGGCACAGTGCTTATTTAGTATGTACTAGGCTCTGGGCTCTGTCTCACCTGATACTCAACGTTTCCCCCATGAGTGCCAATGTACTCTGAAGGAGTGAGCAGAATTTACATAATGCCGAGTGTTTCCTAACCAAACTCCTTTTCCTCCGTTCTCCTCCCCAATAGCTAAAGCTCCAAGGAATAGAAATTCCTGAAGGGACAGATTATAAAGCAGACAGTCAGTTCCTTGTGGAAATCATGGAAATCAATGAAAGACTCGCAGATGCCCAAAATGAGGCTGCCATGGAAGAGATAGAAGCCACTGTCAGAGGTAAAGGATAAAATGCTAACAGATATGCTTTATTTTCCCAAGGAGGACATTGCCACATTAGAGGGGAAATGAGAAGGAAAAACACTTGTTCAGGGTCAGCAGTTAAGAGCACTGGCTATTCTTCCAGAGGTCCTGAGTTCAATTCTCAGCAACCATATGGTGGCTCACATTCATCTATAATGGGATCCAATGCCCTCTTCTGGTGTGTCTGAAGACAGCAACAGTGTACATGCATACATAAAATAAATAAATCTTTAAGGAAAAGAAAGAAGCCAGGCAGTGGTGGTGCACGCCTTTAATCCCAGCACTTGGGAGGCAGAGGCAGGCGGATTTCTAAGTTCGAGGCCAGCCTAGTCTACAGAGTGAGTTCCAGGACAGCCAGGGCTGCACAGAGAAACCCTGTCTCAAAAAAAAAAAAAAAAGAAAAAGAAAGAAAAACACTTGTTGGCCCTCATTGTCATGCAAGAACTGACTTTGGAAGATAGACTTAACCAAGAGAGTATTCATACTCCAAGTATTGCAACAACTGCTTCTATCTGGGGTATTATTTAG